ATTTCAAATTTAAAGCTTTTTACTTTATGATAAGACTGAATATGCTGTGAGGTCTTAGCCCAACATAAGAACAGAGTATGTTATTTATCGTAATGCATTGACCAACTTACCCCTTATTTTAGTATCTCATTAAAATATTTGGGTATTTACATGGTATATTTTTTTAACCATCTAGGTACATGTATAGTATTTTTCATGCCATCATATATTTTATTTTTGCATTACATATATATGTCTATACCTATACAATGTATCTGTCACTGATCAAGATACTTACAGGTATCTTATAAGTTATTTCTTAATTAGAATATATTAGATCCCTGGGTACTTTAGTCAGTACATTATAGTAAATTATTAGATAACTAAACATGCAATTTTTTCAATTTACTGTATAAGTATTAAATTCATTTTATAAAGATATAATTACTTAAATTTACTCTATTTTTAATGTAAAATACTATTTTATTTCTGAAATTTGAATATGGTTCATGTTATTTACAGTCATCAAAAGAAATTCATAATTTAAATCACATCATGTTTTTTAATAATTTAAGTAATATTAAGAATATAAACTATAAAAATAGTAAATTTGAAGCCTCTCTTTTAGATTTATAGTTTACTTTTTTTAATTGTTTGTTATTTGAAATATTAAAGATTAAAATTAGATTGTTTCTCAAATTTCGAACCAAATATAATTTTTTCTTTGGTAATATAAAAATTTGACTAATAATAAATAAGCATATGATTAAAATATAGTAAAATTTAAAAAAGTTTAATAAGCATAGATGAAGTGGCCATAGCATCTAATTGTATCACCAATATCATATGGCGGTCTATATGGTTCGCCACTTTCAGAACTAAAAGGATATTCATTATTGTCATAATAATTTTATGATCTTTTTGTCCTTGGGTATAAAGTTCAGGTATACTTCTGTTACTAATAGTGCAATTAGAAATAGTGTATTATTATAATTTCACATTAATCATTTAAAAAAAAACTTAATTTTGAACTTCTAAATAAATTTACTATTACCATTTGTTATTTTTGTATATTTTTTATTTTTTTTGGTTTGGGTTAATTGAATATTGCACAGTAAACATCCTACTTTGCAGGATTTTAAATGTGCTGGGCTACTTTATCATACAGGTACTATTGTCGATCTAAATTGATTCTGAATAGAGCAATTGTATCTGGAAAAACTAACTTTCTATTTTTAGTTTTAGGAATTGAAGAAACCTGTGCAATTTGAATTTTAGTTTCATCACTATCACATGATTTGCTAATTTTTACTTTTTCTGGATGTTCACAAGTCATGGTAAAATAATATTGCATAAGAATAGATGGAACTGTAGTAAAAAACTGATCTAAAAATTAACACTAATTATAAAACATAACTCTTCTATCTCTATTAAAATTAATAACCTTATCTGCCTTATTATATCTGCCAAATGTGGACTACTCACAACATGCATTAAATCTTTTAAATCATCTACTTCAGAATTTCTAAGTTTTAATTTGAACAATCCAAAAAACCCATCTGGTCCAAATTTCGTATAACCAAAAAACATAAAACTATAAATAATTTTGTCATGCAGACTACTCATTATCTGCCAAGCCAAGTATTTAATTATTGCATTGTTTTTATTTTGGCTAATGCAATTGTCTGCATGAATAATAACACGCTTTTTGCCAAGGCTGTATATAGCAAAATAGTAATGAACAAGAGATATTAATGTATTTGTGTCTTTTCCAATACTCTGGTTTTTCAGAATAAGGTAATTAACCTAAGAAGAAAATGCAAATTTAATCGACCGCAAGTCAAAAAAAATTACAAGTATCGATATCAGAGCAAAAACATATCCAGTATCTAAGTTGTTCTGATTGTACACTTTAATCTGTTATTTGAAATCAGTACTGTATTATTTCAAAATAACACCCTAGAGTGTTATTTGAGATAATACAGGCTTAAAAATTCATATACATATCACTTATAAACATTTCATTTTATAAATGATCAATCTACAAATATCCTATTTTATAGACAATTAATTTACAAGCAAGTTGATTTTGAAGACAATTAATTTACAGACAGTTCATTTTATAGATATGAATATTTATAAACTGATGTAAAGTCTTAATTATCCCAATACACTGTGATTGAGTTTTAATAGTTTTAGGCCTGTTAGAATTGTCTAATTAAAATAATTATTTTGGTAATTAAATTACTAAACAGATTAGTAGATTAAAAGCTGTTTAAGATCATCTACAAAATGAATTACTATATAAAATAAATTGTCTGCAAATTAATTGTCTTTAAAATAAACATGTCTATGAATTAATTATCTATAAAGTAAGATGTTTTTAAAATGATTTTCTATGAAGTGATACATACTTGAGACTATATAAGCATGTACTGTATGTATAATTTCGCAGCTGCAAAATCACATAAAATTATAGTTTAAATGAAATCACTGCTATTCAATTGTTTATAATCACCTGTTGTAGCATTGCTTCTTTATATACACCAAATACTTCAACCTTATAAAGTGATTTAAAATATGTTGCACCTTTTTGTTGTAAAGAATAAGACATTAATACATTTTTTGCAAAATCCCATGAAACATGATTTTCAATATCGATTGAATTTGGAAGTTCAAACTGCAGAAAATTAGTTAAATTTAAAGAATTTAAAGCTGCTTTGAACCTGATAATGCATTCTCTAAAATACAAATATAAATTAGTGATATAAATATAATTAATATACAATGCTACTCAGGGTACTACTCCAGAAACCATTTTCTATCCAGGTACTAATTATGAGGAAAGATACTATAAGAGGTTGTTCTTTATATAATTTCAAGGTATAAGGTTAGTATACTGAATACCTAAAATAATACCTGGGTATTTTTCAATTTTCTGAATCATGACCCTATGAATTGTATTCAGTCTTTTTTATGGGTATTGTAGTAAGATACTGTAGTCAGTGCCATATGGTAAATTAAATTTAAATACTTATAATTTTCATGTTTCAAATATGCCCAATTATAATAGGTCATCTATTCATTTAATTTTTGTAATGTTTTATTTGTGTTCCAATATTTGGATCCAAACTGTTTTTTTTTACAAAGCATATACAAATCACTTCATGCTATTATAAACTGAATTTCAGGGAGATACCATTTCCAAATACGCAGAAAACTTGATAAACTAATTTCATCCATGTTCTCATATTCTAAGTTATTATAAATCTGGTATAAAGATCACTTGCTTTCACATGCAGGTAAATAAATTATTTCATGAGTATCATCCTGGAAACTATGTCTTAAATAATAAATATTTTAATAACAAAATAGTAATAATAGAAATACATATTTCTCATATAGGTGGGAATAAAAAGTAAATTCCTGATTAGCTAAGGGCCCAAAGGGCCTCAGATAATTGGAATTTACCAGATTATTCTTCTAAAGTGAGAAATAAGGATGTTATTCTTTATTTTATATGACACCAAGACAAGGTTTTTCAACTCAAATAACTCTTTTTATAACTTTTTAGTTATACTAAACTAAGAGAAACATAATGAATCTTCACTTTTAATAATACAATCATATTAATTAAAAGAATTAAAAAATTTTGATTAATATCATCAGGTACATATCACTTTATAGAAAATTATTTTACAGACATCTTATTTTATAGACAATCAATTTGTAGACAAGTTTATTTTAAAGACAATTAATTTGCAGACAATTTATTTTATAGACAGTTCATTTTACAGACCATTTCGTAGATGTCTTTAACAATGAATAACTCCCAATTTACTAATTTGTTTTGGTAATTTAATTACCAAAATAATTATTGATGTTGATAAAATTCAACCATGGGATATTATAATTAAAATTCAGTTTAAATATCAATATTAATGTTTGTAAAATGAACTGTCTATAAAATGAATAGTCTGTAAATTAATTGTCTTCAAAATAAACTTGTTCACAAATTGATTGTCTATAAAATGAGATGTCTGAAATAATTTTCTATAAAGTAATACTTATCTAATATCACTGTACCAATTGAGGATTATAAAAAAAAACTATCACCTAAATAACTGTGTTCTATCATGTGACCAAGATTTTTATTTAAATAATACTATCACTATTGCAATGGCTAAGATTTTAAAAACCTTTATCCAAAATAAAACTATTATACAAATTAAAGTAATTTATAAAATTTAAAGTGTACCTAAAGAAATAACAAGGATTACTAAGCATTGTCAAGGAATAATATAGAGTTATTTAAAAAATACTCTATTATCTGGCTGTGTAGCATTCAATAACAGGTAGCTCGTACTAACAGAATAACTTGAGTTATTTTGATGATGACACAATCATCATCAAAATAACTTGAGTTATTTTGTTGGTATGATCATAGTAACTGCTGAATAACAAGCATTACTGTAAAATTATTTATTTATTTTTACTGATTAAAGTAATAATTATAAATCAAAAAACCTCATAATGCAACTATATAAAAATGTAAATTACATACTAAGTGATGGAAGTCCATGTTGATTGGCAAAATTTATAATAAATTTAAATATATTTAAAGTTACTGAAAAAACAATTGCATTATTGCTAACACATCCAGTTAAACTATAAATTTTTGGTGTGAGACCAAGTCTTTGATAATGTGCACACAAAGCCTTCTATCTTCTTTTCTGAATATTGTAAATGATATACCAAGCTTTTTGGCAAATTGTAACACCTTCAAATTTATAATTTGTTGTTAAGTATGCTTTTGGTATTCTATTTTTGAATTCTAATACATTTATACTGGCATTGATAATTCCAAGAAAGCATAAATTTGATTCATTAGTTGTCATTGCTTTTATTTCTAGATAACTTTTAAGTGATGATTAATGATTAGCATTTAAAAAACATCTTTTAGTACAATAGTCAAGTTATTGTAGTTTTGTCAAAAATGCATCATCATTTCGCATGTCTAATCACTTTTCACAAGCTTTTTTATCTTCTATTACTGTGTGCATTAAATAAAGAGTATATATTTTATAGAAATGCTCAATTTGAGCAGTTATAAAAAAATCATTATTATATATGGTTAAAGACACTGGCATTTTATTACAAGCTTCATATTCATTAGTTTTGTTATCAGAACCTTTATCTGAATTTTCATTTGTTAAATAAATATTCTGTAGCTTATTAATTTCATTATTTAAATCTTCTAACTCATTATGAGTTTTAGTGAAAATACTATCAAAAACTATATTCTTATTATTTTTTGCTATCAAAAAAGAATTGATTATAATTACAGGTTGCTCTTATTATCAAATTTATAAAATTCACTACATATAATAAAAATTAATATTAATGTTATAGGGTGTGGCAACTTAGTGAAGTGGATAAGTTGTCAACCCTCCAAGTGGTAGGTTGGAAGTTCAAAACCCACTGACA